AAAGATGATGAGGGGACTGGAGCACCTCTCCTATGAGGAAAGGCTGAGGGAGCTGGGCCTGTTCAGCCTGGAGAAGAGAAGACTGAGGGGGGATCTCATCAATGTGTACAAGTATCTGAAGGGAGGGTGTCAAGAGGATGGGGCCAGACTCTTCTCCGTGGTGCCCAGCAACAGGACGAGAGGCAACAGGCACAAACTGAAACACAGGAAGGTCCATCTGAACATGAGGAAAAACTTCTTTCCTATGAGGGTGACAGAGCCCTGGCACAGGTTGCCCAGAGAGGTTGTGGAGTCTCCTTCCCTGGAGACGTTCAAAAGCTGTCTGGACACAATCCTGGACAATGTGCTCTAGAGGACCCTGCTTGAGCAGGGGGGTTGGACTAGATGATCTCCAGAGGTCCCTTCCAACCTCAACCATTCTGTGATTCTGTGATTAAATATTGATGTATGAAAGCCTCCCTTTCCTTGAAATCTCCAAAGGTCTGTGACAGTACATAGGCAATTTAAAAACAAATGCACATATTGATTTAATTAGGGTTTTTTGTTTGTTTGTTTTATTCAGAGCACTTGGCTGAACATTTTGCATTATAAGAGAGAGATTTCTTTCACCTGTGTTTTGCCACCTGCCCCTGTCTAGGTCTATGCTTCATAGTTTAGTACTGAAAATGGAAACTATCCTTCAGAGGGGAGCTCCAAAGTGTATAGAAAGGCAGGACCCTTTGGTCCTGGGAGAGCTCGTACCCACTTTCTGACCTGTGGCACAATCAGCCATGACCAGCAGGCTGCGAACATGAGCCAGCCAAGACCTGGTCTGTAGGGCACCTTGGAGATGCTGTGCAAAGCTCGAACAAAGCTATCTACATCCTACCTGCCCCAAGAACTTCTGCTAATGTATGTGGTTTCCAGATCACAGCAAGGTTTTAAATTGTCAGCCAGTAGCATAACAAAATATTGTACTTTTGAAGGCAGGTTATATTACATTGGATTCCCTGGTAGTGACATTCTGTCTTAAAAAGTATACACAAAATGTGTCATTGGAAATTAAGGAATTGGAAATTAAGTTCATTGAGGGATGTTATATAAAGCACTATGAAGATTTTTTCATTAGATGGCTCTCAGTTCATAAACTTGTTTTAAATTTGCCTTCTAATAGGTCTTTTCCCACCTCAGTATGTCCTATATTTTATTGAAAGACCTTGCTATCTCTCTCCAGTCTGGGAGGGGTCTTGCAGTCTAGCCTTTAATCCATGAACTCCTTTTGGTCCTATTGTGCAGCATACTTGATGTCTTAGCTCCTGCTTCTGCCCAAAGGAGATTAAAGTAGGAAAATTCCAGTAATTCATCAGCATAATGTGCTTTCTCCCTAAAAATAATGTCTCCCAAGGATTTGATGTATCACAGGGACATTTTTATGTGACTGACAGAACTGTCTTCCCAACCTGTAATTCAGGGACTGCTGCCTGCAGACAAATAGTGATTCTTCTGACAGCATCACCTTCTTCTTTCATTGTTTATGTGAGGGTGCTTAAACTTAACAATATTGAGGACTCTTGCAAGTTTAAAATAGCCTTTATGGATTTTTTTTAATGGAGAAATTGAATGTGAATTTTACCTTTCAGTCATATAACAGATTCATTTTTATCATGCGGAGGCAGGATGCTAATTGACAGCAGCTGGAGAATCCAATTAATTAATATATAATGAGAATAAACAGTGGATGTTTGTTTTTATTACTGAGGCCCTAAAATTAAAGAAAATATGCAGTTGCATTTTTCAAAATAAAGTCATTGTATACTGTCCATAAGAGTGTGAAATGCATTGAGGACAGATTCCAGAGGCAGCCTATACATTTGCATAAGGTAGCTTGCAGCCTGTGTGAAGGGGACAGTAAGTTGAGGTTGATAGCAAGAGAAACAAATTCTTAGAGTGAAGAACTGCAAACAAATTGAAGGGGCAGCCATTCTCCTTGATGATTTTACACTCCCTTTTGATATTATTCTCTTCCTTTTCTGTTTTCTTCCCTGGTGGAAGAGTTTCACGTACGTCCACGTATAGGCCTTGGACTCTTCTGGAGGGTTATAGGTGAACAATGGGCTAGTGAAAATAGGAACCAAGCCCACCTTGTGCTACTATTTCTGATGATTCTGAATTGATCTCAATTTACAAATCGACTAGAAATACTCAGCATTTGAAAATACTCCTTCTAGTACATAAAAATGAGTGTTTCCTGTTCATTTTGTAACTATTTTTCAAAGAGGAAGTCCTGTTATCTGTGCTCTGATAAACTCTTCTAGATGTATCCTTAACTGAAGGATCTCACTTGTTCTAGAGCATGATAAGCTATCTCTCCTCTGAGATCCCAAGATCTAGTCCAATAGAAAGCCAGAATTTAAAGACACACAGATGGAAAAAAAGATCATCAGGTGTGACCCACTATATATGCAGGCTGTAGATTTACTCCTCATAGTTCTGCAGCAGTTAACCTGTTTTTTAAAATTTCAATGTTGATGTAATGAACCCTGTTCCTGGGGAGAGTGGTTTGCACTCTGATGTTTTCCTCCCTTTCTCATCAGAGGGAATGCATGGATTTTGCACATGGAAATTATGTAAATTGATTGGGTAAATCCCCGAGTCTTGCCTCTGTGGAAAAGATAACATTCATTTGTGGTGTTCACCTTCAAGTTTTCCTTCAGGTTCTAACTCTAACCTCTAATGTTAAAAAAAAAATAAGTGTGAAGATAACACCCCATTGAAAGGATGCAATAATAAGGCTTTAGGGCTTGTTTTCATCCAGAGTACTAATCCTGTTAGTGCACAGTTTAAAGGTTTGTGGAAAGTTGGTAAATCACATGGGATATGAATCTAAAGACTATACATTTCATATAGCTCTGGGTTGTTGTTCAGTGAACACAGAGACAAGAGAAAAGATGCAGGGTCCTTTTAACGTTCACAGTTTGAAATGAGTTACTTTACTGAGGCCCTTCCTGCCAAAAAGGAGTCATTGTTGTCACCTTGTAAATCCAAGCACTCGATATCTTTCCATTTGTGAGATGCACATGGTGTAAAGCTATGTATCCTCTCTCATTTCCACAGAAAAAGATAAATTTACACAGCAAAAGCAATGTGAAAAGTAAATATCAGAAGAGCAATGGGGGTATGGGGAATTAAGAGAAACAAAAAAAAAAAAAGAGAGAGAACAATGGTTTGCATTGTGTTTTGCCTTTCAGCTGTGAAATTTGGAAGAATGTCCAAAAAGCAGAGGGATAGCCTGTATGCTGAAGTGCAGAAGCACCAGCAGCGACTGCAGGAGCAGCAGCAGAGTGGCGAGGCTGAAGCCCTCACCAGGGTTTACAGTAACAGCATCAGCAACAGCTTGAGCAGCCTGAATAACCAAACCAGCAGCACTTACTCCAATGGGCATGTCATCGACCTGTCGAAGTCTGAGGGTTATTATAACGTGGATTCTGCCCAGCCTTCCCCAGATCAGTCTGGGTTAGACATGACTGGAATCAAACAGATAAAGCAGGAACCTATCTATGACCTCACTTCTGTACCAAACTTGTTTACCTATAGCTCTTTCAACAATGGGCAATTAGCTCCGGGAATATCCATGACTGAAATAGGTAAGGACATTTCGTATTCCTCTGGTGTTCAATTTGCAGCTCGTAATGGGTATATAAAAATTAGATTACTATATCATCTTTATTAAAATATTACACAGGCATTCTATATGCCATTGTACAGTAATTATATATGCACATAGATATGTATGTGTATCTGCAAATTATTCAGTTTCTTAAACTCTACACTTCATGTGTTGTTTATGAAATGGGAGCACCAAAGCAGGTGATGAATCAATCAGAATCAAGTGATAATTAGTAGTGGGGAGCTTGTTTCAAATGAACGATGGATAAATGATTTCTTCAGCCAGCCTCCCATATTCTTGTCAACACCCAGAATCCCTCTGGCAGCTCATTCTGGGGTATTTATTGTCAGAAAGCACCAGCTCCCTACTTCTGTGCATGGTTGTACATTCAGAGTAAGTTCACTGATCTTGTGAGATGCACAAATACGATCGAGGTGAACATAGTCATGTAGCCCTGCTTGATGGCTTGAATGCCTTGGAGAAGCATCTTGGTCATCTGTCCTGTGATTTCTTCCTTGAAAAGTAGCAAAGAGACCTCTCCATGAGATGTGAGAGTTTGAAAGGCCAGTTAGAGATCATTCTCTAGGGAAGCTTTCTGTTCAGCTAATGGCTCTAGTCCTACTGCTCCAACCCAACTGGAAGCAGTGTTTTCTGTTGTAAAGAAATAACATGAAAGAAGGTTGGCATCCTAATTAGGTACTTCCCACCTCAGCAAGTGATGACTGAAGAGTCAGTTGTGATTGAGAATATAATTAAAGGGTAACACTTCTTTAATTGGGTTTAATTAAGAAGAAAGAAGAAGAAGGAAAAAAAATGTTGTTGTTCAACAGCACCCATAACAAATGAATTAACGTCACGTCACAAACAAACTCTAGAGCTCTGGCCTGGCCGTGCCACCTTGTGCATGCAAGATGCCAAGAAGTGTAAATGTATGCGTGCATTCAGACCGTCTGAGGGCCGTGGCTGGAGATGTGTGGGCCAGGGGTGGTAATACTACAGATGCATTCGATGGGTATTACAGAAAGGGTGTGTGTAGTAGTTAATGTCAGATAAGAACTGAAGGTGCAGCTAGGTGCATGTTTGTTCCCATGTATGCTTATGTGCAGAAAGGTGTGTAACAAACTGCACGCTGTACTTACAAATTGCACAGGAGAAAATTATGCTTTTCTGCCGCTCCGTTCAGTGGGGCATGGTTACTGGGCATGTTTGGCCTGGGCTGCTGTCCAGTGATCTCCTACGCCTGCCGTGTAGCAGTGCAGGGTTAATAAGGTGACTCTGGTGACTGGGAACATCACTCACATGTGGCTTGTGCAAGCCTCAGTCCTGGAATAGTGTTTTTAGTACTCAGAAACAGCTGAGAGACAATTTAAACAGTCAGCTATTATCCTGTTCTCAGCTGTTAGTTGCTGGAGTTTCCGCAGGGGTCATTGCCCATGCTTGTGTCAGAAAGACCTGAAGCTGGTCTAAACGCTGTTTTCCTGCCACACCCTGCCTGCACCCAAAGGGAAATGTTCCCAGAGACAGTCGGAGGAGGCACCTGGAAATATGACAGTTCAGATAGTCCATGAATTCAGGTTTATGCTCAGTTACATAAGTGAGCCCAACAGTGACAATATAGCCATGGGACTATAGCCTTATGGGCTGAAGGGTCCCATGGAAGTCAATGGGATCTTTTGATTTATGGAGCTTTAGAGCAGGCTTGAACTTTTATCCCTCTTCCTTTGGAAATTGGAACTGGGCTCCTAAATTACTAGGGTTTTACGCAAATTCTGCTCTATATCATTTATGACACCTGCAGCAGAGATGTAAGGGTGTTAGTGGAGATAAGGTAGTATAACAGATTAACTGACATAATTGAAAAAAATAGATGAGATGTACCATAAAATATTGGGATTAGTGCACAGCTGAATGATATTTTCAGTGTTTAAAAACATCTTTTTAATGCTGCATTGGATTGTTGGAGCTTCTGTAAAGCTGCAGTCTCTGAGTCAAAACAGGAAAACTCAAAAGCACTTGTATGCATTGATTTCATATTACAATGTGCTTAAATTTTACTGTAGCATTGCATCCTACTCACTCCAGTGAGATTTAGGAATACACTCAACTCATGTTAAGTAGAAGTTAACTGCCTTAACTGTTAGGTGAAAACTGTAGAGAATATAGAAGATTGAAAAGCTATACTGCATCAGTCCTTGTGCCTGGATAAAAATTTATTTATACTACCTTGTCTACTGATGTACTGAGCCGTTGTTTTAAGTATTCCAAGTCATATTAGTTCTTTTCCTCATTGGAGACTTTCTAGCAGATCTCATGATGTGGGAGATCTCCTGTCTTTGTTTTCCCGTGATAATGATAGTTGCATGTTTTTAAGCACCACCTCACTTGCCACTTACTTGATCTTGATTGAATGTAACCCTCTTAATTTTTCCCTATAAATGAATGCTTGAAATTCCTTCTGCCTCTGAGCTCCTAAAAGTTGCTGTAAGCCTTTCCAAGACATGATGACTTCTTCACAGGCAGGCCAGAATCAAAGCAGTCTTTGTGGCTTCTGCTTTATTTGCCAATCAATATCCCATTCACTGCTTACTCTTCCAGTGTTATTGCTTTGGTTGTTTCTCACTTACATTTTTCCTGTATAGGCCTAATTTTATTAAGATATCTCTAACTGCATATTTCCAAGTTTGAATCTCATTGTCTCTTTTGTACTCATTTTTCTAACTTTTTTGGTCCTGTTACGTTATGTCTGTCTCCATTGATGTTTGTGACTTCTCTCAATTTAGAATTATCTACTCATTTAATTAACATGCTGTGAACCCTCTCTTCCACATTATTAATGAAAATGTTAAATGCTTGTAAAACAAGCCCTAACAATGGTCCCTGCTGCACCTGACTAAGCAACTTGCTGCAATTGCATAAATTACTTTAGTATTTACTTTTTGCTTGCTATCCAACAGCAAGATTCTCTCAAAAATACAAACAAGTTTTTATTTCCCTGTCAGTTTGATTCAATTATGCAAGTAATATTTTCTAAGATACTCTACCAAATAATTTACACATCATTTGTGTTCTTTTCTGCACATATTAATTTTCTAATTCCCCAAAAAAATAATCAAATTGATCAGGCATACTTTGTTCTTTAACAGTTATATTCCTTTAATTTAAATGCAAAACTTCTCCTTTTCTTCAACATAACGTATCTGCATTAGACTTAGCAGTGAAAATGGAAACTGCTCCTCTTAACAGTTTTGAAATTCAAAACTTTTACACAATAGATGTTTCAATGCATGATATTAGAATGGCACAGCAAGCAAAATATAGCTTGTCCTGCATTGCATGCTTACCAGTATCTTTAAATACTGTACCAGGAAATAGGTGTAGGGGAAAGGTACTGACAAATGTGAGTTATATAAGGCTCCCTCACATGTATTTAGAACTGGTATATTCCTCCTTATAGGTTGAATATTCCAGGTACAACTGCACATTAGCTGATTGAGATGAAAAGCAGGATAGGTTATCTGTCCCATATGGAAGAGAAGGCTAAGTATAAAATAAAACAGTCTCTGGAATACAGAAACAAATTTCTCACCTCGGCCCAAGGGAGGCAGGTTCCCCAACATGCTTGAGCAGGGTCATGTTTCTCCCTGGCCATGGGGCAGGCCGCGTACCAGGGAAGGCAGAAATTTCCTGATGCTGCTGTGGCAGCTCAGATCGTGGGGTAAAATCTGCCCTTGGTTTTGAACACGAATATTTGGTCCTTCGGAGCATGGCTTTCTCCTCACAGAGAGAGCTGCAGAGGTCAGCCGGTGTGTGGAAACACTTTTGGGTAAAAGGGATTTCTGCTTCCTGACCCTGGCAGCCCCGCAGAAGGATGGCAACGCTTGCTCCCAAATGCGATTTTAAATTAGTAGGTATTAAAGGCTTATTTTTAGAGTTTTGTCAAATTAAAGACCATCTTGTTTCAATATATGTGCATAATATTATCTGTCACTGAGCTAAGCATCCTATTTCTCTCACAAAATGTGTGGCTTGGACCCCGGTCTGTGAAGGCTAATGGAAAGGTTTCCCTGACTTGACTGTAGTTGAGATACCAGTTTATGATTTTGTAAAGATGAGAAAAAATTATTAGTGGACACTGTTGTGGGGAAAACAGACTGGTTCAGGGTTTACTCCAGGTCAAACTGAAGAGTGCCCTATATCTGTATATATTTAGGTAGTCGATAAGGTGCCAGTATAGAGTACACAAGGTCACATAGCCAAAGCTCCTGTAATTACAGGAAAAAATGTTGTCTATGTATATTTACATGACATTTCTTCAACATCAGCACTATTTAAAGGAAGACACCCAATGGTTTGGAAAGCTTAAAAGTTTATACCAAAACTGAAAATTAAATAGGAAAGTTGCCATTCTCAGGCTTCATCTTACCTTTCCCTGGTCCCCTCTGGCCCTGCCCTGCTGTGTGTGTCTCAGCACAGGCAGGAGCTCCCTCAGGCAGCTCTGTGGTGAGGACTGGGGAAGAAATCACCTATCCTACTCACCAAATCCCCTGTGAAACACAGCCCTCTTGACCCTGCCTTTGCCTAGAAAATGACAGCAAAGAAAAGTCTGCAAAATGTTTTAAAGACTGGCTTAGGATGGGTATGTAAAATAAAAGCCCCCTTGGAAACTGCAAATAACCTCCTGTGAGCATGTAATCTTTAATTTAGCTGGGTTCATGCATCCATCTCAGGACCTTCAGTGAACAGCTTTATGTACTGTAAAGTTATTTACTTATTTTACTCACTGCACTAGTATACAAGCTGGAGCTTGGCACTGAGCTCATTCAGTATCCCAGCTTGAGGGAAGATCTCCACCTGGAAATGCTCTCAGCTCCTCTGCTGAGGATATGTTTGAAAGCCAGTCTCACACCTTTCAGTGGAAATTCCCATTAACTTTAGCAGAATTGAGCCTGTTCCTCCCTGCCTGTCCTGTTCAGGGAT